GAGTGGTTGGATGGGGCGTGGGAGTCCCGGGGGTCTGTCTGGGGGTGGGGGTGTGGATAAGGGTTGGGGCAGTCAGGGGACAGGTAGGGGGTAGGATCCTAGGGGGCAAATTAGGATGGGGGAAGGGTCTCAGGAGGGGGCAATCAGGGAACAAGGAGCAGGGAGGCTTAGGTAGGGGGTGGAGTCCTGGGGGGCAGTTAGGGGCAGGGGTCCCAGGAGGGGGCAGTCAGGGAACAAGGAGCAGGGGGAGGGTTGGGGTTCTGAGGGGGGCGGGGAGTGGAAGGGGCGGGGCTAGGGCAGAACGGGGGCGGGGCTAGGGCAGAACGGGGGCGGGGCTCCTCCCGTCCTCTTTTTTCCGTGCTGAAATATGGTAACCCTAAGAGTGCTCACTTTATATTTTTTATTACAAATATTTACACTGTAAAAAAGATAATCTACAAGTGAAAGCATAAAGGGGCATATGAATATTTAGCATATCTGGCATGTAAATACCTTGCAACATTGGCTACAACAGTCCCATGCGAATGCCTATTTTCACTTTTAGGTGTAAATTTACATTGTAAATAAGAAGCGAGCAGCATTATCTCCGATAGATGTAAACAAATTTGTTTGTCTTACCGAATGGCTGAACAAGAAGTAGGACTGAGTAGACTTGTAGGCTCTAAAGTTTTACATCATTTTGTTTTTGAGTGCTGTTATGTGAAAAAATAAATCTACATTTCTAAGTTGTACTTTCATAATAAAGAGATTCACCTCATACAAGTAGGGCAATTAAAAATACTATTTCTTTTTTTTTAATCTCATAATCAGCAGTGGAGTTGTAAACAAGGAATTTACAATTCTGTAAGAGAAGCACCACACAATGGGGGATTGCTCAACCCTGTGACTCAGCAAAACCCACCAGGACATGTCTGGGCTAGTGTTTTCCAAGCACATGGACTGAGGATATAAATAAGGGACAGTGGCATCATGCTTTTGCCTTTCTCCTCCTCCACCTACCCGGGAAGCAACAAGAACGCTGGGAAGACAAAGACTTGAACTGTGTAGACTGGTCCCAGGCTTAAAGGGGAAGCCTATGTATTAAGAACTGTCACTTAGCTACAACATCCAGTAGGGTGAGAAAAATTGCTTGATCCAAATACTGCCTAGTTTAATAAGGTTTAAGATTTAGACTGTATGCTTAACTTTTATTTTCTTTGGTAACTATCGCTGACCTTTTGTGCCTAACACTTATAACCATTTAAATTCTATCTTTCTGTAGTTTATAAATTTGTTTTATATTTTACCTAAAATAGTGTATTTTGGATGAAGTGCTTTGGAAATCTCAATTTACAAAGGCTAGCATATGTCCTCTTCACATCAAGGGAGGAGAGGACTGGGTAATAAACTTACACTGGCCAGGCGTCTGACTAGGGCAAGAGGGTGTATTCCAGGAGTCCAAGGCTGGGGGCTTGGGAGATTTGCTTGTGCCTTTCTCTGTGTGATTTGTGAGTGGCTCAGGGAGCATTCATGCAGTCTAGCTGGGTGTGGGGCTCCATATGCTGTTGTACTGAGTGATGACAGTGCCTGGAGGGGTTTGCTGCTTGTCACTAGCAAAGCATTGTGAGAGACAGCCCAGGCTGGAGAGTTAAGGGAGCACAGCAGTATCCCAGTTCCAGGTTGTACCCCAGGGATCCCATCACAACCTGCAGTTCTTGTTCCTAGATGTATACCTGCATTTGGCTGTATTAAAATGTATTCTGTTTGAATGGGCCCAGCTTATCAAGTGTTCCAGATTGCTTTTTATGACTGTCCTGTCCTCAATATGGTTTACCACTCCACCAATCTTTTTTGTCATCCTCAAATTTTAATCAGCAATGTGGGATAGGGTGATCCCCAGCTGAGGCATCCTCCAGTGGCAAGCTGTGGCACAAGTGTGCCTGTCTCAGTTTCCCCTTTTGTTTGCCCAAGAAAGGAACATAAATCTCTCAAAGTTTGATACAAAGCCTGCCTCTAGGTGTAATTTATTCATACACACCAAGGCAGTAATTCCCCCAAAATCTTGTAATAAAACCATTTTTCAATTTCCACA